TCCATAAGCATTTGCTGCAGATCCATGGTTTGATGTGATCATAATATTCATTGCAGCAACTTGGTGAGGTAACTCATATGGTTATGGACGTGATAGTTAAGGTCTATTACCCAACATGAACTTACCCAAAGGATGGGAAAGGATATCGACCATAATGGACAAGACCAAATGGACTAGGAGTGTCCATGAGAACCTAAGGATGGTTCATATATGTTTTGGTCTAAGACTCTATATAGGATGTCCACGAAATGGCTATGCCATATGATCAGTGGATCCGTGGGACATAAGAGGACATTAGATGGGCCTGCAAACAATGGTTGTATGCAGATCATGAGTCCATCCAAGTGCTGGTCATGTACCATCCGACCAGGGCACCAGTCCAACAAGGAAATCAGTCCAACCAGGACATAGAATGGTCAGTGGCATCAGATGCACGACATGACCATGTCTTAATGGAGTTCCAGAAGGCATTAAGAGACACTAGAAGTTCCAAGATGATCACACGTCAGTGGTGTATTCATCAGGGGGAGTTTCATGTGTTGTACTCTTTTGTCCTGTCCTTGGTTTTCCCTTTTTACCACATTGGGTTTTGGGTTTTACCAGGAGAGGTTTTAATGAGNTTGTACTCTTTTGTCCTGTCCTTGGTTTTCCCTTTTTACCACATTGGGTTTTGGGTTTTACCAGGAGAGGTTTTAATGAGGCAACATCCAAAGCATGAAATGAACTTTGAACGGATATATCAACCAAGGGGGAGTGTTGAGAAATGATGGTTGGGACATATCCGGAAATGGACCAGACCACATCAGTCTCACTTCAGTCTCAAGACCAGGCGACAAGCACCTTGTCTCTATCCATACCAGGCGGCCAAGACTAGTCATTATCCTCCCTTTGTATTTATCCATATGTTGTAGTTATCCTAATCATTATAGGATTAGGATAATCATCCCATTTATTGTTGTAATCCTTATCTCCTAAGGAATATGCTTTATTCTCTTGTATATATATGTATGTGCACGAGATTAATAATATATACAGAGTTACAACAAACCTTCTTTATTCTATAACAGAATCCTAGTTCTTGGGTGATTATTCCACTTCTCCTTCTGGTAAGCATTCATCGATCTCATCGCATTCCACACTATCCGGCTGAACTTTCGACTATAAATATCAACCCTTCTCCAACGGACAGCGCAACTCAAACGAAATTCAGAAGAATACTTTGTTCTAACCGCCGATTCCAACGATGGCTACTTCATACACTCTCCTTTCCGATTGGAGAGCTGGTCGCTGCACTAACACCGCGGAGGTTAGGTTGTGGGAGGCAAGAAATATCAACAAAGCAGGTGAACTAATGAGTCATCAATGTAAGAAACTTTGTTTCCGATTAATCCTCTCGACGATTACATCCATTCCAACTTTTTTTTACTCCTTTCAAACAGTCAACCCTTGTGCAAGGATCTGTTGGTGCGGTTCGACAGCTCAGATTCAGAAAACATCTCAGTGAAGGCTATGTCTACATACTAAGTTGATTCGATGTCGTGTGCAGCAAGCCCAAATACCTGCTATCTGATGCGCCCCTCTACATAGGGTTCAATGACGATGGAACTTCTTTTGAGAAGCTATCAACGACCGTTAGGACCATACCTATGGAACTGTTCCGATTCCAACCATACAACCAGATACTTGAGCTAGCAAACACCGCCAGACAACTCCGTGGTATGTATTCTCAATGTCAGTATTGACGTTAGTTTTTGGGATAGATAAGTTAACATAATACCATTTAAATAATCTCAGATGTAATGGGGGAGCTTAGTGCAATTAGAAGCACAATGACCGACCGTATACTGGGGGCACAATGTGTAATGATCACTTTGCGCCTAGAAAGGTACTTTATGTTGTTTAATATCCATTTGTTATACTAGATACTCTAATGTATCCCCGGCTGACTTTGTAGCATCGTTTCTGTGCAGGGATGTAAATGTTTGTGTTAGTATGTTCAACTCTCTGGCTGTTGCATTACAAAACATATTTGATAGCTACAGGAGAGAGCCAACAGTTATTCTTGTTATCAGCGTCAATCCTAAGAAAGTTGGGGTTAACATAGTATTTGATTTTGCTTTTCTTGCATTGGAACATAGGTTTGACAGATCCGTGATGCAAACAGTTTTTTTGTGTTGAAGTTCTCTTAAATAACTCCCATTTTTTTGGACAGGCAAATTATATCTGAATGGAACTTCTGTCACACATCGTTACTATGACTCTGAGACAGCTGCAGAAAAGAGGAGACTGACAGGCGGAGTCTTCTTATTCTCTTTAAAAACGCTACTTTGTCTAGTATGTTGAATGTGCTTATTCTATTCCGTTGACTGCTTTCACATGCTCATCTCCTTACAGGTTGACAGGTGGTGGGACAGACCAGTCAGCGTCTTCATCAAAGGTGGTTCACTCACAAAGAACTTGAGCCCCTTACCATTTCTGAGCTTAACCAGTTTATCATCATTGTTGACCCTCAGGTTTGGTCTGATATTTAAAATATAGGACCCTGTGAGAATATATTTCTTACCAGGTTATATGATCGATATGGCCAATGTGAACACTTACTTTCTAAAATGTTTTATGTTTTAATCTTTTGAGATTTGACACCATTACATGCAAACATGTTTCCAAAATTTAGGACCTTGCTTTTCCTGTTTGACCGGAGCACCGAACTCATAAGAAGAGGTTCTGAAAAAACTGTGATAGGTGGTTAGTGATAACACTAAAGCGATCCTGGAACCATCAGTCCAACAAGACAGGGAGAGCAGTCAAAACTTATTGAATCTGGTACAATGCATTGTCTCTGTCATCTTGCTGATGCACAATACGTCAAAGTTAGGTACATATTATCACCATTCAAGTCAGAGACTGATTTGATTATGCCCAACATAATCACATTGCAGGTGATCATTTGTTTTTTTTTTCCTACTCTCTTATTGTTATATATTGCAAATCCATGTTGCTGATTGTGTGTTTTACCTCTTTAATTTTCTTTGCAGTCCTCTGATCTTGATTGTAGAAGGAAAAAACACAGAAGATCAACTTAAGATTGCAACTAATAGCTTAGTAAGCTATGCAACTGTGACAGTATAATGATTTTTGCTCTCGGTTGTAAAAAAAGATGATATGAATTTTCTTTGCTTGGGAAAGCAAACTTAAATGCACATTTTTGATACGCAATATGAAAGCTCTGATTCATGGTACAAACATGTTCCATGACTAGCAGCAAGTCCACACTAGGTATGCTTCCAAAAGACCATGAGTTCAGTCAATATTTTTGTTTTTGCCCCCACAAGTTTCTAATTCAGATACATGACAATAGAGGTATCTGTTGGAAAATTAAAAAGTAATAAAATCAACCTCAATTTGTAGTAAAAATGTAAAATACTTAATTAACCTCAATTTGGCAAAAACTTATTTAGCAACTAGTATATTAGTTAATTGTAAATTAGTCAATTGTAAATTATATAATCTAATATACATATATTTCAAAAATAAATAGAAAAAGTCACCCAAAAAAAGAAATCTATTTATAATATTGTTCTTCATTGTCATCAAACTTAGACCCATGAAAACTAATAAAACGGAATCTCACATATATTTCTTTTGTTACCAAGTTCAAGCATAAACAAATTATCAGAAACTGATAGAAGCGACAATGAATTATTAATATTTCATCAAAATAATTATTTTACAAAAATCAGTTTAAAATAATAATATAACAAAAATACTTAATATAACTTATGTTTGGGAAGAAAATTAGTAAAAATAATATTAATTTAGTGAAATATAAAATATAATATACAAATATTAAAATAAATAGAAAAAAACATACGCCATAATAATATCGCATAGGAGAGAGTCCAATATCGATAAAATTATATGGACAAATTGGGATGGAAGCTAAAGAATAAAAACGAAAGCAGTGATATTTAAAGCTCTTAATATCCAAAAATTCTATATAATTATAGATCACATAGAAACACTGGTCAACACATATTATATAACCAACCTGTTCAACCTAAAGAGAAATATCAATATTTCTTGTGCAAAACTCAGACAAACCACTAGTATATTATATTTTGGAGTATTTGAGAAGTTGACAGCCTCAACCCATTAGTACATTAATTATACACCTTTGATATGCCATTATTACATTTTAAACTTAAAAAATTTCTTCAAAGTTTATATGCTCTGAAAAAATTAAAATTTCTACTTTCATTTAACTAATCTTTATTTTTTTTCTTAAGACATTTAATAATTATTTATTGTATTGAGATTGAGAACCTTTTAATGAGGGTCGTCTTTAATAAAATAATTTTGTTTCATTATATAAATGTATTCACTTTTTATATAAAATAATGCTATATTAAAGTTTACAAATATTATTCCATTAATAAAGTTTTATTAAGATTATGCTTCTCCTTTTATTCCTAGAAAACTTTAAAATATCTAGTTAAATTGATATTTTCTTAAGATATGGATTAAGTTTTAATTTTAGTGACACATGGGCGAATCTAAATTATGATGTATTGCCATGAGTGACATCAATGCAACTATGCAAGCCTACATAAATATATCCAGATATGTTCTATTGAATATAAATATAAAATATAAATAGATGGTATAGGCAAACAACTAAGTTGCAGTTACATTGTTCTTGATCATTTTTATTCAAATTCCAAAATTTCAAAGTTTTCAAGAAATGGTTAGTTAATATATAAATAAGCCTATACATATTGTTTTACATTCTTAAACAGTATTGGTTAAGAATTCCTTAAAATAATATCTAATTTCATTGTTTGTAGGAAGAACTGAAATTTGATTTCAAATCTTCTCATATAGGAGCCCAGAACAAAGCTATTGGGTATATACAAAGTTGTAAAGGTACAATAACACAATCTAATAATGGCTATGTTTGATCTAAAATTTCCAAATAATGTATCATTTTGAATTATTTTCGTTCATTTGCCAGGAGTGAGTGACTATAAGTTAGAAGACCATATACTTACTGTTTCGGGATGTAGACTAGAAGAACTAAATAAAGATGAAATGCAGAGGAAGATAGATATGCTTCTTTCGACGAAGCCACAACCAAGGGGATGCATATCATGTTTTGGTTTAAAAAAATGATATGGTGTTTATTAATATTAGTATTTGAAAAGTATTTATTTTTTCTACAGTAATTAAGTTTGGGTCTTAATTGTCCTCAAATTCTATAAAAATGCATGGGCATTTTTAATCATTTATTACATCCATATTTAATAATTTATAGATTAATTTTTCTTATTTAATATTAAATAAAATTCTAAATAGAGAAACCTAAAGATCGGAGATGGAGAAATTTCACCATAGATTACCACGTAGTTCAAGTCTTATTGATTAAGTTGGTACGTTTCATAGATTCAGAACCAAAACTTATAAAGATTATGCTTATCAATCATTTTTGGGGGTTATGTTGGCTGTCTCTATATTTATATTTATAAGGACTATAAGAACTAGATAAGGATGCAATGCAAAGTAGGGGTGGGCAAAAAACCCGAACCAAATCAAACCACACCGACCCAACCGAACCTAAACCGATCCAAATCGAACCAATGTATATGTCTAAACTATTTGGTTCAAGATTTTATCAACCCGAATGGTTCAGTTTAATTTGGTTTTAAACCAAACCAAACCAAACCAAAAAAACCGAAGTGTGTTTTAATTAGATTAATTAAATAGAGTAGTATATTTAACTATTTAATCTAAATATATAATAATTTATACATTTTAATTTTAAATGAATAGAATAAATAAAACTAAAAAAATATGAATCTATACATTACATCAAAACTGAATACATTTATGATTTTATATTAAATTTGAAGATAATAATAATATAAAATTATTGAATACGTCTTCTGAATATTTATTGTGATGTTTGATTTTATGTTTAAATATGGAGAAAAAAAATGTGAATGGCTCGACGGGCAGGTGTTTAAATATGAAGATAAACATCAGTGGTTCTAAATGCAAGCTTTTTGCTTTCTTAAAGGACAAGCTTAGGAGTAGAGTGAATGGCTGGACGGACAAATGGTTATCAAAAGGTGGAAAGGAAGTCATGATAAAGTCAATCCTTCTAGCTCTCCCAACCTATGTAATGTCTTGCTTTCTTCTCCCATTGGAGATATGTGATGCCTTAGCTAGTGCCATTGCACAGTTTTAGTGGAGCTCAAACCCTCCGAAACGAGGCTTACATTGGTCTACATGGGATAAGTTATGTCTATCCAAAGAGGAAGGGGGAATTGGATTTAGGATGATCCATGAGTTTAACCTGGCGCTGCTAGCTAAACAATTATGGAGATTGGCTCAATACCCAGATTCCCTGGTAGCTCGAGTTATGAGAGGTCGGTACTATCGTCTGAGTTCGCCTTTGCGGAAACTCGCTGTCAACAGCCCATCGTATGTGTGGACAAGTATCTCGGCTTCTCGAGACTTATTATTGTTGGGGGTAAGACAGAAGATACATTCAGGCTATGAAGTGAAAGTATGGGAGGACCCTTGGATCCCTACTATCCCTGCAAGGCCAGCGTCTCTATATGCTCCGATTTTACACCCGAACATGAGAGTGAGTGATCTCATTAATCATGAAACGAAGTCTTGGAATTTGGATCGATTGGCGAATTATATAGAAGCTGCTGACATACCTCTCATCAGAACTATGGCTACCAGCTCAACACACCGCAGAGACACGTATTGCTGGAGTTATACAAGGAGTGGACAGTACACAGTAAAGTCTGGTTATTGGGTCGCTCGGAATATATTGATGAAGGAGGAGGATGATACTGTGGGTGAACCTAGCATTACAAAACTCCAAGCACATGTCTGGAAGGTTCAAGTACCCCCGAAGATGTGCCATCTTATGTGGCAGATTATAATAGGTCATGTGGCTGTTACGAGTGCTTTAAATCATAGACATATGAGATGTGATAACTTTTGTCCACGATGCGGAGAACCGGAAGAAACAATTGCACATACAATCTTCCAATGCCCACCTGCGGTACAAGTGTGGGCATTAGCATCTATACCTACCAGCTCAATTTTATTCCCACTGCAGAGCACATATGCGAATATGGACTATCTATTCCGGAAGAAGAGAAGGCCATAATGGAACCAGAATTAGGCAGGGACCCTTAACCTTGGCTAATATGGTACATATGGAAGGCTCGGAATGATAAGTTGTTCCGAGGAATTGATAGGGATCCACTGGAAATAGCCCGATATGCGAGAGCGAGTGCCTTGCCTGGTTTCAAGCCAATGAGCAGGAGACTGTGTCACCACAAGTAAACGAAGATGTTGGAAGTCGGGTCATAAGCCTACGAGATATCTGCATGGTAGATGGTTCTTGGACCTCTACAAATCAATTCTCTGGATGTGGCTGGGATTGGAAGGATAGCGTGGGGAATAGCCAACTGATGGGCATGCGTAATGTTACTAGGGTGGAATCCGCTTTGCATTCTGAGCTGGAAGCACTGCGGTGGGCAATGGAGAACATGCTTCAACTTTCGCCATGTCAGAGCTTTGGGACGGATGGCAAGGAGTTAATAGAGATGCTCACAAACCCTTATGGATGGCCGAGCTTTTCGACGGAACTGGAGAGGCTATTAACGCTGCGGATTTGTTTTCCAGACTTCAAGATCGTTTATGTTCCTAGGTCCCAAAATGTCGTGTCCGATCACTTAGCTAAGACAGCACGGTCGTTCTATCGCGATCTGATGTTTGTTGGTTGTTCTATTCCGGTATGGATTCCCAGACCACCTCAAGCTTGAGTAATAGATCAGCCTTTCGTTGTCAAAAAAAAAAAACAGTATTCTTGATGGAGTCTAGAAAGTTGAGATTGAGAGAATATTATACGATGAGACAAATTACGAATTTGGTGATAGGTACCTATATAACAACTTTTAGACCATGTTATTGGCCCTATTTAAGCATCGATTGACACAGTTGATGCAAAAGCACTAGAGTAGAAGTATGATGTAGAAACAATATGCTGCAGAAGTTGTATGCTATTATTAAAGTTTTTAATAAAATGATTGGTAGAGCATTAGCAA